TTTTAACTAGAGAAGATTAGCAAAATCATTTTCCACTGGAAATTGTATTTCCCATTGCAACAAAACTTCTTATTGAGCATATCTTAATCTACAACAAAGGATCATCCCATCGAAATATTTCAGAATAATGAATAAAAATTTCCCTCGGTAATGTCACTTTATTTAATCGGCAGATTAAATCAACAATTGAAATTGACGCTGAGCTAAAATAGCATCATAAAATAATTTGCGTTTTTGGAATGTTCTTATTTAATACTCAGCGATATTTCACGCTGAATAATGCGCATTAATTAATAACAGATCCGTGATTAGAAATTTAAAAGACGTCGTTCCCTTACTCGCTTCTTTGCAAAGAGGCAATCTCGATAATCCTCAAGCATACGTTAAGTGTATACACACATCAACGTATAACTGAGAAGACCCTTGGCTTCTCTGAGCATGGCACGGTTTAAGGGAAATAAGATAAAGAAATAATGAGAAGAATAAATGAGAATAAAGCAAGAATTAAATTATTGGAGGCTGCAAATTAATCAATTTAATATTATCTGTCTAATTCTACGTTACGCAAGTATCTTTGTTTTTTTGATTCGTTAGAGAACAGTTTTTAACAGATCAATAGTTTCCTTCTATTTTAATTCGAGCCTTGAATTTCTTGAATAATTTAGACAGATATATCACGATTTAGTAGAAACGTGGAAACCAAAATTTTACAAGTAAGATGTTAATCGAAACTTATAATCACGCGCGTGACTCAATGAATTATCACATTTATTTAACAAATTTTTATATTGCACACCATAAAAATGACGATAATCCTGAATATCAAAAAAATATTACAAAACTTTCTCAAATTTATTAATAATAATTCTCTTGTATTAAAACTAAAAATAAAAATATTTTTTAAATTTTTTAAAAAACCACAGGAAAAAAGGATTTTAAAAATATATGTTTATTAAATATACGTTGAATTTTGCCAATTTCGCATCATTTTGATAAATATTACTATTAAAATATATTTACTTTATATATTATATGATGTGATACTGATATAAAATTCTTGTATCAATAAACTTTTGAGAATATTTTTAAAGAAATATTTATATTTAATTATTTATATTTGTTTTAACTTAATACGCCAGAAATTATTAGATATTGATAACATTTATCCAAGCATTATATTGCATTATACAGCTTCAATATTGCATAATTGCATTTTATAGTTTCAAAATTATATATAATCACATTTTGCTGTTCTGACAATATTTAATTATATAATTGTAATATATTAAAGATATTTTAAATAATCTATTAAAATTCAAAACAATTTTATAGTATCCACATATTCCGTATCTTAATCCGTATCCAATTCCTTATCCAATTTATTGATTAATTACATAGGTGTCTCCACTTCAAATAACTAATTATGATGTTGGGTTCGACCGACCTCTATGACAAGCTCTATGTGCTGGTAATACCACAGAATCTCCTCTCTCTTCATCCGTAATCATCTAAAATGAATGAAACTTAATTATAATTAAATAAGTAATTAGAAGCTTTTGTGTGAATAGTATTTTCGGTCTAAGATCTCTTAGATAGAAACAGCTCAGTCTTTCAAACTGTTTGATTGTAATCACTTAACTTTTTTTTTAATATATACTTTTTTAAGAATTACTTCTCTAACCTAGATAATATTATAGAATTATTAAAAATTATTAAAAAAGAGGCAAAAACTCTCAATATTTAATGAGTTTGCACGAAATAATATGCCAGCTTAATACACACAATTTTAAAAACTAAATTTTAAAAATATAATAAGTATCTAATCTAAGATATGACATAAAAATTGTAAAACAATATCAAATTGGAAACAATATCAAATTTTTCATTTTACGAATTCTAATTAATGCAAACAACGATAATTAAACCTAGAATTTCACGAAAATTTTTTATGTTTATTCACAAGTTTGAAATATCAAAACACAATCGTTAAATTTTGCAAACAAGGAACTAGTATTTAATTGTTGGGTTTGCATTCTCATTCTCGTTTTCACATTCAATAGAATTTTTATTAATACCAATTAGCGATAATTTTTTGAATGTGAAATTCTGAACTAAAAATAAAAGCAACCGAATTTGAAAACTATCAAATAGATAGCTATCAAACACATTTAACAAATATTATAAATTTGTTATATGTATTTTTTCATTTTTATTTGGTATATTTGATAAATTATTTCGATAATTATTATCGTCGTTCTTTTATTTCTCTGGGACTTCGGAGTTTATTGCGTATTGTCTTGCATTATAATTTGATTTTATATAACTTGATTTTATATGAACCGTATATTTTAAAATTTTAATCAGAGATGTAATAGCGCATTTGCACAGTTTTATAACTTGTTTTAAGACCTGTCTGCTTAATAGAGTTGCTATCCTCGATCAACATTTTTATCGCTTTGGTCATCAAATATTCAATATCTTTAATTTTATCTGAGTTTTTCCAACAAAAGTTGGATTGTAAATTTTTATTACAAATTAAATTAATTAAAATCATTTGTGTTTTTCTTTGGGGGCTGTTTAATTTGCAAATTTTATTGAAAACGTTGGATTATATTTTATTTCGGGATAAAATAATGCAAAATCTCATTAGCTGTATTATATAGTTTGCGTTTGTCTTTCGTTTTGTGTGGAAGGTGCTTTTTTGACGAGCATATACGCATTTCACTTCGCAAGTTCGTTTCGAAAGTCAAACATTGCATCTATAATAATACCATGCATTCGTGAAACGTAGACGAAATTATTTCGTGCAAAAAGCTAACATACTCACATTCAACGTGAATTTGCTAGATTCAGGGTAAAATATTTGAGGGAAGTTCATCAAAAGCCACGAACGGGAGAAAGTTGACGGCAAAATTTTTTAGCGGTATATCACATATTATTAGGTAACTACCGGGGATTAAAACTGACACGCACGATGCATGCGCATCGATAGAACACAGAATATCGAATTTCAATGGTATCTGGGATACGAAATTCAACGCTATAGATATACAAAAATGATACATGCGTTTATTCGCGAGAATTTGCAGTTACGCGCTCTCTAAATCTAAAAATCAATCGAGTTCGCCAAAAACTGTACGTATCCGTGTCACAAATCTAACAGCTGCGAAACGTAGGATTGCGCATTTGCAAATTTCGGAACTCTACGGAACGGTTGACGATAACTTTCGGATGAATATATCGAACTCACTTTAGTTGGGGAAATTCCGGACACACGGAGCCTTTATACGGCGGAATAATATCCCGCCTGGGACAGATAGGGCGTGTGTGGTTATGAGATACGCCGGCACGTAATTACCTCTTGCACTGTTCAATGTGTACGCACACCGATGCGGCGATTGCGAACTTGTTAATCACATGTTCGCACACATCTTCGCGGAATCTGTCGCAAAATATACCGAGCAAGATAGTACGTGTACATACCGATTCGCGCGCTAACATTTTTATCGAATTGACAAATTGCATCTTTGTAACGGTCGGGGGGGGGGGGACATCGTAGAAATATTTATAAAGATTGAAAGAAAGAAATATATATACAAAAATGTTACTTTGCTATATATCGCATATATATATAATATCATGTTGCGGCATAATAATTGTCATTGATAAAAGACGCCTCATTAATTAGCGAAGAAAAGATGTGACAATACTCTTTGTTGTGGGAAAGAAAGATAATATGATTGTCTGGAATTAATCCACGCGCGCGACATGTACACTTAAGCGCGCGATTTATCACGCGGCCGTAAAATATTGCGTAAACTCTTTTTTAACGCACCTCGGTTATCGGACTCTCCTCCGCGAGAGTTGCCCGCGATAATGTTGTATCGTTTGTTTTGCAGGCGCTTCAAACTGGAAGCGGAAATTGCCTCCATGACGTGGAAAGTGCATTGGGAAGACATAATCGTGATGCCTAACGCAAAAACAAGGGGCTCCATGTATTCCCTGATTGCGAATAAGTTTCGCGGTAGTCAACTGGTAAATATGACGGGAATTCTCGCGTGATCGTTGCGTAAGGTTTCCTCATGTCGCTTCACCTCGCGCTCGCGAAAATGGCAATTCGATTATCTGGGGATCTTTCGAGAAGTAATTCGAGCAAGGGATTAGGCAAATATTTGTTGCGATAAGCTGCAGTGGATAAAATAAACAACGGCGCGACGATGATCAAATTTTCATTCCAGCGCTCATTCCGACAGCGTTTATTTATTCCAATAATTTCATTCTTGAGAGAAACCGGAGTTCGTATCTCTCAGGCAGAATCCCTGAAGAAAGAAAAGAGGACAATGGTGGGAAGTACTATCTCGCGAGTATATAGGAAGTACTATCTCGCGAGTAGTGCTTACCCACTTCCGGAACATCCGTGTAGCAACCATAAAGAAGACTTTATTCCATTGTACGTTATTCTGTAGACGCGTTTTTTATCATTTCCTCAGGTAGCGTTACGGTGTAGAAGCAAAAGAGAAAGCATCCTGTTAGATTTCATACTGACTCTTTTTTTTTTACAGGAAAATAAAAGGAAAAGAACGAGAAGAAAAAATAAATGCCACTTTGCCTTGATTTTACATTTATTTGCGCGATCGTACAGAGCATGTCAAAATCGATTTGACGACGGAATTTTTTAATCAATTTGCATCGAACCATGTTTAATTGAAATGTCAAGATATCAATAACTTTTCCGGATTTTAAACAATTGAAAATAAAAAACTTTTTCAAACATACTTTCAACTTTTCAAACATATTTTCAAAAACGAGAATCTATTCTATTTAACTCAACTTAAATTCGTATTGACTTTCAATTAAAAGTTTGTTTAGTAAGACATTTAATCTTCAAAGTTACCTTTACCCGGAAAGGGATCATTTTCGAATTTGTCGAAGCGTCTAAAATATTCTCTAGTACTTAAGATACTATGCCTTACGTAACTTTTCTCTAATTCATCATTATTTAAAAAATCATCTTTGTTCCAGACAGTGTATTCTGAGGAGAACGTAAGTCTTCCGGACGATGTTGATAAAAATGTGTATTTCCCGACAGGATTTTATAAGGTTAGACAAACTTCATTTTTATTTTAATTTTAAACAGTAGCGCACGTGTGACATATCATCAATCATGTCGGTTATAACTTTGACAGTATAGGAAAAATAAATCACAATGCATCTATGTACAACAAAATATTTTTCAAGTTATTTCCAAATCACGTAACGTAGTTTATGGTATTAATAGGATTAAACGTCAATGTATATTATCTACAATCGTCATATATATTCTCTAAGCGTTGAATACAGGTACGTGTTGTTCACGTCCGCCAATCAATATTCATTTTATTTCTTTTTAGAATAGAGATATTGTTTCAATAGAACGCCAAACAATCGCACAACAAGTGCATTCAAATAAAAGAAAGTAGTGTGAGCACTAATTTATTAACAATTCCATCGCAAGTGCACTGTTACAACTGTAAAAAAGCTTTTTTTTATATATAAGAAGATTTACGCTAATAAAATTATTTTTTCGATTTTTGAGTTATTTCCCGTAAAGCTTTTTTGCTGCCAAACTCGTCGAAGTTCATCGTTATTCAATATTGATCCAATTTATATTTCCACACATCGCGTTTTGCAAGACAAAACAATATATATATATATATATATTGTTACTCGTATATATTATTTTTTTTTCTTTTTACGGACACATGATTTTCGCGAGGAAATAAAAGATATTGTCAGTCAATAATTCCGTCGATCGTAAAATCGCAATTCGTTTCAGAACTCGAAAGTCGCTATAAAACTGATACCGAGAAATAAAGTGGAGATCTCAAGACCTTTGTTGCTGGAGCTAAAGCGGGTGAGTAACTGACTTTGCAAGTACACGCTTTATTATTTGTCAATCTTAATTTGTCAAACGTGACTTCTCAGAGCACACACCTCGAGACGCAATCTTTTTAATAACGATCTTCAATACGTTATTGCTTCTCCAACAATCGGTATTGCATGTAATAGGCCTTAATTCATATGAGTGGTGATGTTGGTGACTTTCACAGATGAAGGATCTCCAGCACGATCATCTTGTACGATTTTATGGTGCCTGTCTCGAGCCGCCGCATTGTTGCCTCCTAACCGAATACTGCCCCAAAGGATCTCTCCAGGTGAATTGCATTTCGCGTCCCGATTTACAGTTTTGATTGAACCAAGGAAACAATTGTTCCGCGTGTCACTGAATTAAAAACGAGATAATTGCGATATTGCTGTCAGAATGCGTCACAACTTGTGATCTTGTTTTCAATAGCAATCTTTTTCTTAATAAGACAAAAGTTAATAACGGCAGAGTAATTTATCTAATTAACTTCGAATTAATTTTAATATAATAACATTATAAGACCTATTAATTATGAGGGGTATATATATATATATATATATACAATTATATGAGAATAATGTATAATTAATTATAAAGG